TATTAGACAAAACGTAAAAAGCGGATCATTTACAGAAAAAGGATTAGTTTACAAACAGTAACAGCAAACAATTTCGATGCTAAATATCAAAACAAAAAACAACAGACAACTCCTAGTGCTAATTCCAGCTTTTCAGTTTTATCCATCAAAAACTCTGTTTTCGTTTCTGTCTGTGAAGTACTCAACGAAGACAAGAGACCACTTTATTGACTTCCTCCTTGTTCTGGTACGGAAAGTTTTGAATATCCACTGAAATTTCGGTCAGTCCAACGGAGTCCATTCCTCTCTCAGTAAAGTTCTTCTCAATGAAATCAGAAAGAGCTGCCTGGGGATGGTCTTATGTCGATTGGAGCAAGCTTCTTTGATGAGTTTTTTTTCAAAATATTCGTCTTATGACATAGTGCATGGCACATTAGAAACTCGTGTCAATGATGCATTCTGTATACTTGGGCCTAACGTCCAATTTCCGAGAACTTTCTGGGCGGCGTGTACTCCTGGAAGTACACGCAAAAATCCCCTTTTAGGCATATCGAGTGCTCCCAAGACGCGCCTCCTCGCTTGATTTTTGCGATTTATTTTTACTTTCCACCAACAATTAGATACAAATAATAGTGTAAGTAGGTATAGAAATAATATTAACACGTTTCAGGGGTACTCCCGCAAGTACACCCGAAAACCCTTCGTTCGGTCACTCGTGTGCTTTTGTCGGGTCTCGTGTGTCTGTGTGTCACGAAATTCATAGCTCACGTCCCAGTAGTAGTGCAGTAATGCAGTGGGTTTTGAGGAGACTGGCATGAAGGGGTGTAACGAGAACATTATTGGTGGGTGACAAAAAATTATATCAGTTGATAAGATCAGATAAGATGCGTCAGAAGGTGTGGGTCACACAGACGTACTTCAGTAGCGAGAAATCATACACGTACCCTCAGAGAGCGCGTAAAAATAGAATCTGAATGCACACCGAACACAGTATCTCACGACAAAAGCGCCAAAATTGCCTGGGTAACACGCTGTGTGTTGCGATGCGAAGGAGAGCGAATAGAACGATTGCATGGAGTAGTGCTCATAAGATCTGTAGGCCTGCTGGATGCTCCAGTACATCTTTTTTCGGCACTATTGAACTATTCCTATCCCCAAAAACTCAAAAAAGTTTTCGCTAAGACTTTGTCTTCAGATGTTATTCGATGGCATGATCACCAATATATTATTAATTTCTGGCGCTTGCATCATTGCGTCACGGGGCGCCAATTTGGCGCCACACCTTTCCTCACCAGAATCGATGAAAACCTGTGTAATAGGGTACTCGAAGCGAGTGTGGCATTTATTTCTCCATACCATGCCCATTCAAACGGTTCTGTAAAAGTGCTGAACGGGGAAAGTGATAACGCAATGAGCATGGTCCTACGTTAGCGCCGGCGGCAGGAATAAATGCCATATTCGTAATAAGAATGTCAAATAACTTCCGTATACAAGGCTCAGCGACGGTTTTGGCCCAAGCGATGATGATATTCATTCAAGGCGTCAAATACTCACTAAAGACAAAGTTTTCAGCGAATTTGAGGGTGCGTGCACTTAGATACCCGGGTGGGCGTGGCCACAGAGGCAAGGCTTCGAAATGGACCGGTGTTTCCCAAAGTTGTGCCTGCAATAGATATTAGACGGGAGCACCGTTTACAAGGTAAACGTTCCTATTGTCTTCAAGGTGTGCTTAATGTTGATTTCATGATCATACGTAAGACCTGATAACCACTTTTTCGCCTCTGCCTAATGTATACCTTTGCAAAAAGCATAAATTCCAATCTAAGTTAATTCTTCCTCTCGGAACTTCTTAGTTCAAGCAGTAGAAACAACAGCTGTTTAATAAGAAGGAAATTATCGTCTCCAAGCTCAGGAAGAAGCGCTGAAGCCCAATTATATCCGTCCACGTCAAGCCCTCGCCCTATTTTGGCCACGCCCACCGGGTATCTAAGTCACGTAGCCAGTACCCCTATGAGCAAATTTTCAACCATATCTGCCCTTGTAGAAAAGTTGGTAAAAAACTGGCCTGATTTCGGCAGACTGGGGTAGGAATAGTTCAATAGTGCCACAGAATTCCTCATGACATTGCAGTGGAGTCTTTACACATTACAGAGGTACCGTGTTAAAGCATTATCCAGATGAAAATGCCACGGGACTTCTCCGAAAACTGGTCAAGTTGGCAGAATAAAATAGTTTTGCATGTTTCCCCTTCACAGGTCCCGCATTCATTCCGTGATTAATGCCCTGCTTCTTTCGTTAGTGTAGTGGTTTTGATTATCCACATCCTTATATAAGGTTCTAATGAGAGGATGAGCTTCTTTGCCGTGTGCTCAAAATGCCTGCTTGCTTCCTGTTGGTTCCGTGCGATACGAGGAATAATGACGAGCATAGTTTTTTTGAACAAAACCGGATGATTATAGTACAGCCTTATTGTTCGAATGAAGCTCGCAGTTGAAGTTCATACTACTCTAGGCATTTCAGGACCAGTGCCGAAATGAGGAGACAAAGTTGCGCAGTGGGCAACAACGTTCAGTAATCTGTAAGGCTAAAAATTCCCCATTGCGATGCAGCTGTGCTGTCCTTAAAACCCTTAACATTCTTATTTGATTGAGAATGGAGACAAAACTACTTGAACTGGGTTGCGATGGGCTGCTTCATAATTCTCGCCTGCGTTCGAGCATTTTTTGCGAAAGCTAAAGTTAGCTATCTACCTAGCATGTTAAATCTTCTCAGCGAAATGCAGCGTCTTGAAGAGTTTAGTGTAGGTGTCGATCGGTGCTAAGAACACCAGTTAGACACCTATTCTTTTCGTCCGTAACGTTCAAAAATGTTCGAGCTAACAGCAGCCGCAACACATACCCGCGGTACCCACGCAATTTTAGCGTCGTTGTCGTGAGATACTGTGCTTAGTGTGCATTTAGATTTATTTACGGCTCCTTTGGATTACGGTGTATGATTTCTCGCCTACTGAAGTTACCGTACTGTTTGGTCCACCCAAAGCCCATAGCGGGGGATCAGCTACGTGTCGATTTCAGTGTATGGTATGGGGTATGTGACAGAAACGTAATTGGTGGGATATAGAACTGGAGGCTCTGATAAGATTTAATGAGAGGCGTCATGGCCCTTTTTCCAGAATTCTATTACGGTAGGTGACAACACAGTTGAGGTAAGTCTGTAGTTGCATGAGAGATTCGATAAAAGGTAAATGTATGAAAGGGTGAGGTAATTTTTTTACAGAGGGGGTCACAGAGCGTGGCGTTGATTGCAGCACGTGATATAGAGCGTGAAATGTGGGGACATCTACGTGGAAAAATCAATTCCGTGAATCTGCCTGTTGTGACAAGGTTGATGTATTAGGAAATGTAGGTCACAAACGACCTGAAATAAGAGGGGAACTAACGGTTGAGAGTGAGGACGTCCTGTCAGTGCTGACATGCAGGCTCCCCGTGTGACGCACATTTTGACATGCTCAGGGCAAAGAGAATAATGGCAGGAAGAGAACGACAAGGTAGTCCTAATGGTAAAATTGCAGGGTTCTGTGACAAAAAACTTAGCGTTCCCAAATAATTGGCAAGGTGTTTTGCCACTAATTAGGATCACATAATGCTTTTGCGAAACTTCATAGTCCTTTCTCATTCCTGCAAAAAAGATAACGCGATTGAAACCTTCTAAATTCCGTTGACCACCCAAACGCTCATTTGACAATCTGTTCTGGGGCATAGGCAAATTGTGCAATCGCATTCAAAACAACGGTTGAGAAAAACTGAGGGCGAAAAAAACCGAAAGATGAGCTTTCAAGAAGCAGCTCTTTCATCATGGAGTTGTCGGAGGCTTTATAATTGGTAAGAAAAACTTACCAATCATCCACGAGTATGTTAAAATTGGCTTTAGAAAGTGATTTCTGAGAAAATGGAGGAAAAAGGCAAAAGCTCAGTCGTTGACACTGCTTGGAGGACCGCTTGGAAACCCATCGTCAAATAATTATTTCAAAGCTTTCCAAATTTTGGATAGCAACGCGTGCTCCAATGTTTCAATAGCATGCACGTTCACAGTTCTTGATAAACACTTGCCTAACGGCAGAAGTATTGTATCGCTATAGCAGTCAAAGAGTTCCTCAAAATTTCGCACTACCACAACGGCACGACGTAATTTTAGCCATGTAAGGTTCTCTTAAGAAGATAACAGAAATTGCACCAAATAAAACAAAACAGAGCAAATAGAAGAATTCGCGTCTCCTTCGTTATTGTTGAACAATCTAGGAGTAACCGTTCACTCAGCTGTGGTCCTATAGCTAGTCCCTGCCATGTTGTGGAGGTGAATTATGTGGCAACAGCAGTACGGCGCCGCAATTTCAATAAGACGGGAACGGAGCTGGAGGGTGCTGTAATTCGGATGCCGTCTCAATACTCCGTCTCAAGCCGACCATACGTTTGACCATAGCCAAATGCGTGGCCTGCGTGAACTGGAACCCACATCTTGCGCTTTTTTCTAGCAACCCAAATGCGTATTTCTCTGCGGGACGTCGGTATCAACGCAAGTTTTGCACATGAAGGTTGGCGCGGGCAAAGTATGGAGATGGCACAGAGTCTGCCAGCTCAGTTCCCGTGCATTTTTGATCAGGAAAAAGTGGCACGTCATTGCAGTTACGGACATATTTCATCTCGCACATAAGAACAACCATCCTTGTAGTTGAAGTTGAGTGTACAGTTTCCCTTAGAAGCGATTACTGCACCAGTAGATAATCATAAAAGTCAGAGTACCAGTGCTTTTTTCAGATGAAACGTATTGCTGGCGACATAGGAGTAGACTTCGATAAGACTAACGCGCCTCCTGATATCTTAGCAGTGGTTGACTTCACGGAGAAACTCCACCAAATACCAGTGCCAGATCTCAAGGATCTACTTGAGGACAACGATTATTTCAATTCATCGGATTTCCAAAACTTGAGCGTTGTGGAAAGAACTGCCTACAAGGTAAAGGTAACCAACTCTCATACAAAAGAATTACCACGGGGCGATACAGAGTTCTATGCTGCTGTTTTGTGAAGTTGAAGAAAGAAATTGAAGCTCTTCCCAAGTTGTAGCGCTTCTAGAGGTGCCACCACCTGCTTGTTGTAAATAATGCAATAGGGGGAAACAACCAGAGACGAAATCATTCCATCCTCCCCCCCCCCACCTCGTGCACGCCCCAGTATTAGGAGGCGCTCTATCGCTTCTGAGGTCTGGTAATTGTTCCAGGGGGAATGAAAGTATTGGTTGGTCCTTAAGGTGGGAGGGGAGATCAAGCAATGTCCCACTCCCCACTCTTACCTCTGCAGCCAGAGTCCATTCTTAGCGAGCACATCCTGCCACCGCTGTACCTTGTCCTGGACTTCTTCTCTGCTATCCGCTATAAGGATAATGTCGGCAGCATGGAAGATGGTTTTCAGCGGTACCACATGAGTTCCCTTGCAAATAACACCTAAGAGTCAGGACGAAAGAGCAACGGGCTCAGGGCGGTGTCCCACCATGATGTGTACCTCCTTTGCCAGGCCGTGCGGGGTGCGTACAGCCGCCTTAGCCCTGCCGTACATGTCCTTCACTACAGGCTAAATGTTATGGAACATTTCGTTCTCTGAGCCCTCTCCAGAGTACAGACCGAGGCAGGCGGTCGAACGCCTTCTCAAGGTCCAGGAACGCTAGGTAGCAGGGTCGCCGCTTCTCTCGACACCTATGCATCACCTGTCTGGCATTCGGGCATGAAGCCGAACTGGTTTGTGAGATGAGTACAAGCTCCCCTACTCGTTGACTAGTCGTTCGTACAGCTTCATGTTATGGGGAATCAACTTGATGCCGCTGTACTGGAGCACTCCGTCGCGTCTTGTTTCTGTTCAAAGATGGGGACAATTGTGCTGCTCCTCCACGCATCGGGCATTCTTCCTTCGGCTATTATATTATTTGGGAAGTGAGTAAGCCAGCCTACCCCATGCTCACCACGGGCCTTCCATGCCTCTATCATTATCCCATCTGTACCCACTGCCTTCCCAACCCTCTTTCTCTCTAACTCTCGGTGGACTTCATCCTCTAACCAGGAAGTGATGGGATTTCCTGCCCTATTCATTACCCGAATGTCTTGCGTAGCTGCGATGCCCGGCTTTACTCAGCTGGAAGACGAATTTTTCTCTATCCGCCCCCCCCCCCTCTCACAGATTCTCCTTCAAGTCGTCCACTTTCGTATCGTTAGCCTTGGCAACGGCTGCCTTGACGAGTCGCTCGCAGCCCTTGCAGGCAGCGAGATCTTTTGAGCTCCTTGTTTTACCGCTTTCTTCTTCTCCGATCCCCTAGACTTCCTCCTTCCAAAACCACGCTGCCTTCGTCTCCTCTGGTCCACCGCACGTCCGCGTCTTTCCAAAGACTTCATTTGTTTTGATTCAGGTCTCCTGGACTCGTTCGTGTGTGTCTGGTAGCCCACCTACCAGTATTCTTGACAGAGGCTATCTTTTTCCACACTGTGTATTTTCCACCACCGGATTCCTGGCTCAATTCTTGCCCGTATCCTCTTGTGAAGGTCTATGGCGATTCCTGCCAGTAGCGTCCTCTGCTGGAGAGCCAGTTCTTTGCATTGCAGCACCTTGATCTCTTCAACAGTCTCAAGCGATGATCTTTTGACGAGCACGTGGTCGATTTCCGTTTGTCTCCCTCCACTGCTGTAGGTTATCATCTGTGTCCTTCGCTGCAGATTGTTTGGTTGTGGACGGGGCCGGGTCGAGGATCCGTTCTTCCTCGGCGTTCCTTGCTCCTATTTCGCGGCCTCCATGCGCTGTATCTAGACCGCTTCTTCCACTACCTACATGGCCATTCAGGTCACGTTATTGTGCTGAGTCGATCCTATGGTCCTATGGTCTCAGCATCCCTCTTTGGTGTCTATTCTCACAGCCATAATTCGATCACTGATTCTGCTCGCGGAGGAAACGCAGTCCTTGAGGGATTCTGCTACCGCTATGGCCACACCATTCCGTTCATTGTCTCCTCCATTGTAAAGTGTTTGACCCCTCCCCAATCCTGTGAACCTTCGCTGCCTTCCGTTTCCGGGTGAGTTCTAGTGACGTCCTAGCATCACATTTACACTTTTTCGTATTTCACTAATTATTATTATGACGGGATTCTCCATCCATCGCGATTCTCCTTTCAACCTGGACCTGACCCTGGTATCGCCAAGGCATAGTTTTTTGCCTCGGAGGATCGAACTCGCGGCTGAGAGCGCAGACATGAGCTTATTAACCAGTCGGCCGTTAATAAACCTGCCTCCATAATCGAGTGTGCGACGCAAAATTAATTATCGAAAGCATTACAATAAAGCTCGGTTGGATTTTAGCATAGTACAGCATGCAGCGAAAAGAACTGACTGGGCAAACCGGACAACTAAGTGACAGTTCATAAGGGGCAAGGGCACACGGTGGGTACTGCGACTATGAAATGAAATGAAAAAGGAGTAGCTCACTTCTGCGGGCGGAGCTTGACGATCTTGACAAATGTGTGGGGACTTCGTCACAGACTTTGGATTCGTGGGAATGGTTCAGCCTAAGTGATTGCGGACCGGCTACCTTGTGCAGGGAAGAATCCCTAATGATTGAGTCAATCGCAACTTAGCATTTAAGAAAACTAAAGTGTGTGAAGGCTTAACTTGAAATTCTAAAGTTTGATACTCGATAAAATAGCAACCATAGTGAATTTAGGTGAACTGGACGGAATACTTCCTTCTTGTAGCACCAGCAAAAGTTGCATGATTATATACGAAGTGATCCACCGGTTTCGCGTCCTAGTGACGAGTACATGAAGAGGTTCGAGAAATATATCACTCAAGCAATATGGTCAAATTTTGAGTCCTGTGCCTTCTTCTTTACAGAATGGACGAACTCCTCAACAGAACGTCACCACGTACTATTACCAATTATGTGATTGTTCAGTATATTCTGGCATGGTTACCACTACTGGGAAAAAGTTATTACTCACTGGTGCAAGTGTGAAAGTCATTTATTTCACTAACGGTCATCCTTACCTTACAATTAACCATAAAACGAATGCCAAGTGTGCAGGTGTCGGCATATTATTAGGCTGGTTCAATTGAAATCAGGAACAAGCTCGTACAAAGCAGCTAACGTTGAGAAAATGAATGTTTGTGATCCGCAAGGGCACATATTTAGCCATCAAATGTTACCATTGCTTCGGAATAAAAGCAATGGATTTGAAGCGAGACGTCGTAAGATCGGTTCCTGGCAGGTCGTATCTCCTTGCACTTGTCCAAAAGCATGACCGGCAAGGCCTCTGACATCTCTGCTCGCCTGCATTACCCTGTAAAGGAATGCGTGCGAGCAGTTTTCTTTTTTGAAGTGCTAGTACCATTGTGGCTGCAAAGAAGAGTGCCTGGTTCTTGCTCCTCCCTTGTGACGTATGTCACAAGGGTGTTTCGCAATGAAATACGCATGAATTCCAGGTTCGCTGGTCGGAATTACCTTTAGGGGACGCAGTTGTCTGAGCCGGTATCTGATAGTTGTTCGGACGCTACACTTCAAAGGGCTCTTCTCTGGTATTAGGCATCAGACTGGGGTTCACCCAACCATCTGATGACGGTCTCTGGATAGAGTTTCCCGACCGGGTAATCATCAAATGAAATCGGCACGACCGGCACGAGTAAGTGAGCCAGAGATATTGTGGTGCGAAGAAAGGTTTAGACTTCGTAAGAGTATTCTCAGCAAGAGAGAGACCAGTTCATCCGCTCGTATGCTACTCGCGAGTATCGGCTGTTCGGCTACATCATACCTGACTATACCAACCCCAATTTTATTGAATATAAAACACAGATTTGCTGCCGTGTGTAGGTGGTTATTTCACCCATCCTAAACACGAAATGTATGCCAATTTTTTGTCGCAAAAGTAGACGGTGATGAGCTTCCGCTACAAGTGTGTAGCAGCTTCGGCGCCTAAGCGGCCGCGGAAGAAAAAAACAGTAATGGAAAAACCTCTATACTGCGCTCAGAGAATCCGCAAATTTTGAGAATAGTTCGATTTGCCGTCTCAAAGCCAGTACAATGATGTGCACCTCATTGCAAATGGCGGGGCTGACCTGTTGGCCTTTCCTGGTAAGAGGGCGTCAAACAGCTCACGCAAAAAAAGGAAAAGGAATGGCTTGAACTGAAGGAGCCAAAGAGGAGTCGAAGCGCACTGGCAATGAAACAAGGCTGATTAATGAATTGCGCCATATGAATTGCATGGTTTAAAACAGGGGTTTTCCAGGCCGGGTTGGAGGCATGTTCTCAAATAGGTGCGGAAACTGATCTGATTTATGATGCCAGTTTAACGATATGGGCCCGCCTTTACAAGCACCCGGCGAGAGTTCTACGTGAGCCTGAACCCTTTCGGATGATCAAACTTTACTAGGGACACCAACCTATGCGAGAAAGGGTAGCAACAGATCTCGACGAATTACAGGAAGGGAATCCTTTGTACAACGAAAAGAAGATCAGCTTCAGGGGATAAGCCTAGCCATTGTCCCATACTATGAGCAAAAGATGAAAGTGTTCACTCAGCAGAAACTCCTCCTAAAAAGCAATAAACTCCGTCGGTTCATCCGCTAGAGCCCACAGCCCCACAAAGCAGAGGCCAAAGGTCTTGCCTAGATCTGAGCCGCTCATGGTCAGTATACAGTTAAAGGTGATATGCAACGTTGAAACTATTGAGGTATCCATTGAACTTCTGGATAGGAAAAATTCTTACGATAAATAACGGCGGACTAGTATGTAACTGTGGAATACAGAACTCGTAGCTCCACTTATTTTATTTAAAAACTGTAGACATCGAGAGTTATTCCTTAAATTAGCGACCACCTGGCAAACGATATAAATGCAGAATCTACATAATGACTAACTTCTGGCCATTTACTGTTATTCAAGACAATTCCTGCGATCAAGTGTTGCGGGTAGTTGACTCTCCGCTATGAACCAGCATCCCATAAGTAGCTCCTCGGTAGAAAAAGAAGGGAAAAAAGCTCGGGGAACACCTTGAAAAAGGACGTTCCCTCAGCAGTCTTGGACGCGTGTGTTGTGCGTGAAGGACGCAGACGCTCCGATAGCGATATGGACAGTCAAGCTGATAAATGCTCGATGCCGTGGACGCGGGGTGAGAGCCAGGCTTCTGGCCGAGCGATGCGATATTCGTGTTTGGAGGTCAAAGGTTCTGCATGCAAATTTTCAAGCTTTCTCAAAGAACTCACGGTACGTAGACCCTGTACTGTATGCTCGAAGAAAGATTGGCCGATCAAACTGATAGCGGCCCCCCCATCTGGAAGATCAATCTGTGTAGAGGAACACTTAGACTGCTCTTCATTTACCAATCCTACCTCCATTACAGAAGAACACCAGATGGCAACAAACAAACCTGCTCTTCAAGTCGCGTACTCTATCGGCGTTGCATAGGTGTAAGAAACTCGAGAAAGCATAGGCTTACTTCTTCTGCTTCAATCCTCCTAATTGGAATCGTCGCTTGTAAGCAAGGAACTGTAGAACCAGCATTAGGTCGTGATTCATATTTTAATTCGGTCCAGTGCGTAGTTTGTGCTTAATCGCTTGCTGCAGCTCGGACCAGCTGAAGATGGCAAAGGAGCGGCCGCGCGCCGACGCACCTCCGCCAACCGTCGTTGTAAAGTATAGAGCTGCTCCGCGAAGCGTTATCTCTCGTCCACCTATACAGTAATGAATGTTCATCCACTCAGTTGCTAACGCGCGATCTTCCATCATAACCCTTTACAGCGCCGTTTGTGATGTGATCGAAATGGTATTCCTCTCTGTGAACGGCGTATAACCGTACGAAAGAGGCACGGAGTCATTTGACAGACGACCACTTGATCGCGGGGAGTGTCTTAAAGATACCGGAGGACTTACTTTTGATGTCATTTTTCCATTTAGAAGTCTGGGCCAGTAGATTGTTTTGTTTTGTTACCCAGGGAATGTAATCACATATGTACCGAAATGACGCACTAACTGTCGTGGGCTTGCTTGCCCCGTGGTGAATGCCCCTCTACTGTTATCAGAGGGAACCCAATTTTGTCTGAATTCGAGATCTTCAGCGAAAGTTCTGGTCTGTTTTAACATCACTGAGTGATACGAACGCAAATACAACAGTTTGCATTCTTCCTGGACAATACGATGCGTGAAGTGCAACATGTCACTTACGAGGAAGGTTTTTCGCTAGGTAGTATCGTTTGTAGATCATCAGTTCCTCACAAAGCGACCGCTCTCTGCCGCGAATCATAAACCTGCTACGGTCGCAGCCTGAATGGGTTCATAACGGCCTTCCTTTCTATTAGGTTGTCCGGAAAGGAATGCGCGTTCGAGCTTAAAAATTTTTTATTATAAAAACGAAATTAAACAAGATAAATTCAAAAGACAATCTCCATTAGTATCAATGACTTGTTGTCAACATTTATGCAAAAAATGGATTCCTCTTCTGAAGAACTCGACCGGCTGCGACTCAAAGAAGTTGGACACCCAGAGTTGGACCTTTTTCGCGGTTTGTGAATTTTCTCTCGGCCAGGGAGTTCTGCATCGACCGGAAACAGATGTAATCGATTGGTTGCCGAGGTCTGATCTGTGTGGCGGATGAGGCAGGACTTTCCAGCCCAATTCCTCAATTTTTTTCTAGAGTGATTTTCGCCACATGTGGATGAGCGTTGTCGTGGATAAATTTTGTCGACGTCGTTTCGACACTTTGAAGACGCAGTGCTGGATCCATGCGGTTCAATTGGTGTTGTGCAGATTTGTCGCCGTAACCGTCTGACCTATCGGAACTTCAAAGTACATCAAACCTTTGCTATTCCACCAAACACGGAGCATCACCTTTTTGCCGCGTATATCAGGTTTCGGAGTCCGTTTTGGAGGGTCACTGGAGTCTAACCACTGTCCTTTTCTCGTTGCGTTATCGAAGCAGACTTTTCTGCATTTTGATGTCTATTAATAGAGTCGAAAAAACCGCTGTTCTTGGAGCGACGAAGAAGAATTCCGGCCATTGCCACTCGTGTTGCCTTGTTTGCGTCGCTCAGCTGGTGCGGCACCCGCTCTTCCCAACTTTTTTTCCCCAAAAAAAGCAAAGTAGACATGGACAAAAATATATCAAAAGAAGCACAATAAAAATCTCTTTCTAATAGACAAAACTGTCTCCAGAAATTTCTATAAGTAGCAGGAAAAACATGGACAATTCAAAAATTCAACGCAAGCATTCGCTTTCCGGGCAACCTAATATAACAGTTCCTCAAAAAACTTATGCAAGATAATTGATGCCTGCTCAAAACGTCTTAAACATCTCGTGAGCATCTGGTATACTGACGGTCCTTTGGACCCGTCTAATGCTGCGTGTGGGGATGTATAGTCCTCATCATTGCGGACCGGTGGGGCGTGTCAGTGCGGCTGCGTTTGGCGCGGTGCCAAAGTCGTTCTGCACCAGTTGTTGGAGCGGGCAAGTGACGTTTACAGTATATCCTTCAAATTACTCGTTTTCTACCACTCTGTTTTCGGATACGCTTCCAAACAAAAAATTCTGAGAACGGCTTCAACAGTGTGCACACTCATACTGGCTGACACGCCCCACCGGCCCGCATGATGGGGACTGTACTTTGCAGCAGCGTCCACCAGCATCTGCTAAACAGCTGTGCAATGCGGTTGTCACGCCGCATTTTTACTATGTCGACCCAGCTGTTTGCTATCCCTCCAAGGGAAAAGCGGGCTAAGAGACATTGTATATTGCCCGCTTCCGTAGCATAGCCAATGAGCATGCGACGCTCCTTTGAGTGCCGGTGGCCCCTTTTGATTTAGGACTGATCGATTTCAGCGTAGACAAGGACGTGGTAGACACTTATGTCTATTTTTGGTCACACATTGTCTATTCTCGACCATTATCACCTGTATCATCTGTGATCATCGAGTTCCTCGAGCGGGCGCCAGTAACGTCTCCATTCGTCCCTGCAACGTGCAAGAGT